TTTGTGTTCCTGCTAACATGCAATTTCTGATTTGCATGAGTCACCATTTTTGTTTGGGATAATTAACATTACAAATTATAAATCATGAGGAGATTTCATGCAGTTAACTCAATAGCCACAAAATTGTAATATTTATGCCTCATAAAAATAAAATTAACCAACAAACTAGATTAAATTATGTGCTCACAGATTTATCACTGCTCCTCATGCATGCCCTAATTGGGCCATAAGATACTGTCCTTCCAGCCATCGTCCTTCCGGAGTCTACTAGGAAGAGATTTTCCATAATAAAATAAGTGAGGGAAGACTCATGAGTTAATGAAACGAAAGGGGCAATGAAAGAAAGAGGGGCATTCTATTCAATATTTTTATTTGGCATTTCATCAGAGGATTAACAAAAAAGAGGCTGTTTAGCTGATCTCACAAAATGATTCTGATTATTTTGTAAACCACTCCAATTTCCATGCTTGCAATTTCTGTGCTTGCAATTAGCAATCTCACCCCTCCCCACATACACACCAGTACACCATCACCACCACCCACCACAAGCATGCACCTGCAAACTGTTAAAGGTTTAAATATGGCCTCTTAAAAAAAAAACAACAACAACAAATTATGTATTAATGCTAGTTATTTGGGAACAAAGATGGAAGCATTTATCACACCCCAAGCCAGTAAAACAATGTTCATGCTGGCATTAAATTTTGGATTCTTTTCCATAACGCTGCATGGCTGTCAGTTCCCGAGTACCCTGGGGTACATTCTTTGTTGCAAGTAGACACAGTGGGAGCTGGAGAGAAGACAACATCTGACAGGAGGGAGTCAGGAAAAGTGTCAAAGAGGAGATAATGCTTAAACTTGGATATAGAAGAAAAAGAGAAATCAACCAAGTTAACAAGAAGGGGCTTGAGCATGATGCAAGAAGTGGGGTGCATATGCAAAGACACAGAGGCATGAGAGAACCCAGCAGGTGTGAGGACCTGCAAATAATTCAAAAACTGTGGAATGTCAAGAGACCAGTTTTGAAGTCAGGCAGGAGTAAATCATCAAGAGCTTTGGCTATCCATCAAAGGAGTTTAGATTTTATTTTGTAGGTAATAGGAGCCATTTAGCCTTGTAGAAAAATTATTCCAGCAGCAAAACCCAGAATTAACTGGAGAAGGACAGAACTATTAGGAGCAAATGATCACCATTTTGTGAATGAAGGAAGACATAATGGTCATGAAGGGAGATGAAGAGAGATAGAAGAAGACAAGTTTGCACTTCACTAGAAAATTCAATCAGGAATCCAGTTATTTTTCCACTTACCACCAAGATTTGCAAAAGGTTATCATTCCTTCTCTAATACCCCATATAATTTCATAGATTTTTTTTAGTAAGAAAAAAAGAAATTGTCAAAGAGAAGTGATAAAGCTAACTATATTACAGAATCTTTCCTATGGTAAGCAGGAAAAAAAAAAAGGACACACTTTTGCACTATCTCAAAATAATTAGTACTCAACACACACTTGAAATCCAGAGTGATTTTTTTCAGGGCTGAATTATTTATACCAACAGGAGAATTAAAAAAATAAGCCACTAATGAAATGTGATTCTAGTATAAAACATTAGATTTTATAATAGAATAACTTAACAAAATGTAGAAATTACAGAATCAAATGATCTGCCCTTATTATTAATACCATGACCTTGACCATACAATTCTCGACCAATCTCAATATAAGTCGATAACTTTTCTCTAAACTGGGTATTTTGTCCAAGTTTGCCTTACCTTTCTACTCTGAGCAAATCTCCCGAATGGATCACAAACACATCCAGCCATCACTGCTGGACTTAACAGATGTCTAGTGTTTTGTCTGCCAGCACTCCTGAACCAGTTTTCAAAACTAACCTCCCCGGCTCACCCTCACCTTAACCTCTCCCATCGTTATCAATGTCAAGCACAACACCATGCTTGTTCAGTGTTTGGTGGATGACCTGAGTAACACCCAGTTCCTAGATACCCTCTTTCTCATGACCTGTCTCTGCACTTTACTTGACACTCATAAAGACCACACCATAGTTAGAAATCACCACTGAAGAATGGCTGTCCTTCAGTACAACATGGCATTGCACCACATCCATAAATCCCTGCCCTTTTCTTACTTCCCTTTCACCTGTGCAGTATCACCCATTCTTCCAGTCCTTGCCTGCTCCTCCCAGACCATCAATCTTCCTTACCTCTTTTCCATGCCCAGCCAGACCCCTTTTAATCAAAACAATACCTTTTTTATTAGAACCCTCCATTTATTTTCTATCCTTTGTTTCCAATACTGCAAGCCTGAGCCGTCCCCACCCAGATGAATCACTCTGGAATTCTGTTCCAGGTGACTGAGCTCTCATAAAGAAAACTGCTTAGCAGTTCAGACTGATGTCATTCCAATTTATAGTGGCCAACCCCAACAGCCCTCAGTGATCATCAGTAACACTTCTTTTTGTCCCTAGTCAGCTAGCATCTACACTCCCTAGGGTTGCTCTTCCAAACCTTAGCCACTTTCTTAAACCCCTCGCATCATCCAACACCTTTATCTTTAGCTCTTCTTCATAGTGAAATACAGATTATCAGATCACCACCTGCCTGTCTACTCCTCCACCCCAAGGTACGTATTAGAATACAAACCTTCATCCCTCTCATGACAATTTCTGAGCAACTGGGGTCTCTCCACCTGTCTTTGCTAAGGCCATTATTTCCGTGTCCTAAGTCATAAATAAAGCAGAGAAGGGGCATGTGGGTGGCTCAGTCAGTTAAGCATCTGCCTTTGGCTCAGGTCCTAATCTCAGGGTCCTAAAATGGGCTCCCTCCTCAGTGGGGAGCCTGCTTCTCCCTCTCCCTCTGCCCCTCCCCATCCCTCATGTGCCCTCGCTCACTCTCTCAAATAAATAAAGTCTTTAAAAAAAAAATAAAATAAATAAAGCAGAGAAACCTTCGGAGAGCTCTCTTTCTATATCTTTATCTTCATTTCAATGTCTTTCCCCCAAAACGACAAGCAGATCAATTAACCTCACTCCTCAACACCAGCACTACCACCACCACCAACAACAAAATCTTTCCTTGGTCCTTCTTCCATTTTTAGCTACTTCCCACCTCCTTTCATTTCCTCACCAAACTTCTTGAAACTATGTACATACATAGTTTCAAACATTAGATTTTATATATATATATATATATGTATATATATATATATATATATATATATATATATATAATATAATATATGTATATGTTATAAATTTATGTCCTAGAAACAGATGACCATAGTTTGACTAGAGATTTAAAAGAATATATAAGTAATACTATGTGTGTATATCTATGTTGTTAATTTGTTTTTTCCTTAAACCACTGCCATCTGTTTCTAACCAAGCTTCTAGATTGAAAATACACACACTGTTTCACCTATGATCTTATAATCTTATAATGTTTTATTACTAAGTTCTCTAATTGGCCCAGCAGCATTTAAAACTTTCTTTCCCGCCATCCCCCTCCCCCAGCACTTACCACCTCTTTGCATACTGTACGTTAATTTGTTTAGTGTCTTTCTCCATCCTGGGGGATATAAGTTGTTATGAGGGCATAGACTCTGCTTTTTTTTTTAAGAACTTTTTTAAAAATTTTATTTATTTGTCAGAGAGAGAAAGAAAGAGAGCACAAGCAAGGGGAGAGGCAGACAGAGGGAGAAGCAGGCTCCCAGCTGAGCAAGGACCCTGGTCCTGCTGCCATCCCAGGACCCTTGGATCATAGCCTGAGCTGAGGGCAGATGCTTCACTGACTGAGCCACCCAGGCTTCCCTAGACCCAGGTTTTTTATTCACTCTCTAGAATACTTCTGGCATATAATAAGTGATCAATGCATATTTGTTAGATAAGTATCACTCATCTTCTGGCCAAAATCAATTAGGCGAAAGGCGGAAAACACACTCAATCTGGGTCAACATCAGCCTCTTTTCCGAGAGTCTAAACTTTGGGACCAAGGGAGTCAAGACAGTCTCTCTGAACAGAGGTAAACTGATATTCATTGTGAACAGAGAATAAAATAGGTAAGTTAGAGAAACTGGGAAAAAGAAGATCCTGGTAGAATTCAAGCCCCAGGGGCGCCTGGGTGGCTGAGTGGGTTAAAGCCTCTGCCTTCGGCTCAGGTCATGATCCCAGGGTCCTGGGATCAAGCCACCGCCCCCCCACCCCCCACCCCCCACCCCCCACCCCAATCAGGCTCTCTGCTCAGCAGGGAGCCTGCTTCCCCTCTCTCTCTGCCTACTTGTGATCTCTCTGTCAAATAAACAAATAAATTCTTTAAAAAAAATAAAATAAAAAAATAAGAATTCAAGCCCCAGGTTCCATTTATCCCAATTATCAAAATGAATTCTATCCTTGGTCTCTATGAAATATCCCAGTATCCTTCTAGTAAATTACTTTTCTTAGCTTAAACTAATAGTGTCTTTGTCTATTGCATGCTACCAAGGGATTCTGCACTAAACATTCTGTGGTTGAATAGGCTCAAAATAAACATCCTAAAACCAAAGTTCAAAAAAACCCCCAGAGGGTAAAAAGTTAGAGTTACCATTCTAATTTCCAGAATAAACAACAAATGTAAATATATGAAACATGGTTAAGTTACTTTAATGAAAACATGGTGTGACATGAAGGCAAACTCTTTATAATATAGGGAAAGAGCTATTTTCATGTCTTCTCTAAATAAGATTACACACACATTAATTTTAGCTCTAAAGCCATTTTTTGAAAATAGGTTTAGTGCTAATTTTATGTCATGCTAATTTTCCTTGGGCCATAGAAAAGTACACCATTGAACAGAGACTAGCGGAAGAACCTAGCTCCAACAGGGCAACGCAAATTAAGGTTGGAGGGCAAACTAAAATGCATCCTAAATTGGCCTTTAGATATAACAGAGCTCTATCTTGAAGAACAGAATTCAATAATTATCAACATTACATTTCATGGGTACTTACCAAACAAACGTTGATGGAACAGAAATTTGCCAGCTATTAGTCCTATGAGAATGGCCAGTAGCCATAGAAGCACCTTCAGAATTCTCCAGCCAACTCCTCTAGGGTATTTATTTGTTACAAATGAAAAACAGTTTCCAACAACAATAACATTGGCTTCTGTTTGGCTATGAGAAACCGGGTCCTCCGCAAATATTAAGAAGTTAAAGAAAATCACCAAGTAAGCCACAATCATGCGAGACCAGGGATGCTGGAAGTAATAACGAAAGTCTTTACCCATCCTTCAAAACTTCAATTCCGTTGTTGACCTGTAGAAGAAAAGATACATAGGGTTAGAGCAGAAAACCAAATAGTCTTTCTCCACCTATCATCAGTTCAGATTTTTTTTTAAAAGATTTTATTTATTTATTTGACAGAGAGAGAGAGAACACAAGTAGGCAGAGAGGCAGGCAGAGACAGAGAGGGAAACAGGCTTCCTGCTGAGAGAGCCCGATGTGGGGCTCAATCCCAGGACCCTGAGACCATAACCCGAGTCGAACGCAGAGGCTTAACCCACTGAGCCACCCAGGCACCCTCTATCTATTCAGATTTATAACAGCTCAAGAAAGAGGTATTTTAAAAGATGCTACCTGCACCTACTTATGGCACCAAGACAAGTGTGAGATCAAGGAAAGTAAATATTGTCCCTTTGCCGCCATCCAATCATATCTCTGACCACATGGGGATGTGGGGTAGGAGGGGAACAAAAGAACAGGGCCAGAAGGGAAATGAGAAGGCAAAACACTGTCCAAAATAGGGGTGATGACTGAGATGACCTGTAGAGGTCACCTCCGGAGGAAATGCAGAGAAAAAAAAACAACAACAATATATTTCCTCTTTTAAATAACTATTGTTAGGTTACAATCTTAATATAAAGGCACTCAAAAATGAAAGCAATGTAGGAGTAAATTGAGCTCCTATTAACATAAAATAAACATCCTCCTCTGCCCATATCCTTCTCCTCAGAGTTAGGATCCCTTGATAATCTGGTGGATATATTCTCAGACTAAGCTAAATTACTAAATCTATCCAATTCTGACATTCAGTTTTAGTGAACCCATTTGGTATTCAGACGAAGCTATTCCTCTTTGTTTGCAGCCACAAAGCTAAATAAAAGCTGAGATTTAAAAAAACAACAATAAAGGTGGTAATTGCATGTCTGCCAATTCTCTTTTCTTCTTTCTCAATTTGTTTAAAACTAGGAGGAAAGGGGAAAAAAAAAAAAAGGACGCTTACAGAGCCTACACATGTGACATCCAGGCTCTGTGTTGGATGCCTACATTAATCATTATCTCATTTTTACCATAACAACCCTCTGAAATACTACTATTATCATTCCTATCATTTCATTTTACATGGAGGGAACTGAGGCTCACACAGATTATGTAACTTGCCCAAAGTCAGCCAGCAGGAGAGCTCTGATCTGAGCCTCTTGAAGTCCCGCAGCCCAGTCAACTCCAGGAATTTCCCCTGCCTTAGAAGGCAGACCCAGGGCCCAGCCCCAGGGATGTCATCCTTTGACTGCCTTCTGCAGACATATTCCTCTCCAGGGATGATTATATTAACTCTACATTAACAGTATACTCTGTATACTTCTATAACCCAGGAAAAAAATATGTAAGTGAAACAACCCTTCACAAATCCCAAGCATTTTGGGATACTGATAAATTTCCCATTGATAAATATTCTCACTTTACACAGGGCTAAAAGCACAAAGATCCAGCCACAAGCCTGAAGTAACTCTGAGTCAATGGAAGACCTAAGAATGGGCTCCAAGGCTCCCCAGTCCCTGTCCAATAGTCTAGGGATATGAGTATCAATTAAACCCACAATCTAAGGTTAATGAAGGAAGACTTGTCTTCACTGTTTTAGAAAAGCAATGTAAATACACAAAACGATGGTCAGTGTAACTCAGCAAAACAAAGAATCACTGTGCCTTGGATTGATTTACCTTTAAGCAATTTCAGTTCCCTTGTGATCTTCATGAATACTCTGAAATACCTGTCCCCAGGGGCTGTAACTCAGCTAGCTTAGGAATGGTGACTATAGGAAGATTTTTCTTCCTAATGTGAGGTTCATCACCCAATAGAGCAGTGGTTGGTTGTCACACCAAAGACAGCAAAGTGGTAAAGAACAAAAACCGAGCATCACGCATTTTCATGATATTCATTAGGCAAGGATGCCAGAATGGGTTGTCAGTTCGGTTTCATGAAACATTTTTAGAAATATCTAAAGACCACTACCACAAGAGAATACATAGAAATCATCTCAAGGCCAATGAGTCTTGAAGCAAGAAATTCCTAGATGTCCATGAGACAGGATAGGAGCATCACTTAAGAAGTTAACAGGTTTCAGGGTGCCTGGGTAGTTAAGTGACTGACTCTTGATTTCGTCTCAGGTCAAGATCTCAGAGTGAGATGGAGCACCCCCCACCTCCCCCACCCCTATGGTGATGCTCAGTCAGCCCAGAGTCTGCTTAAGATTCTCTCTCTCCTTCTTCCTCTCCCCATGCCCCCCTCCCCACACGTACTCTTTCTCCCGAAGAAGAAGAAAATAAAGAAGTAGTAGTAGTTGTAGTAGTAGTAATAAACAGGTTTCTATGTTGCTTCTCTTACCAGTGGGGAATTCTTGCCCCATTGCCACACCACCTCCCTTCCCCCTGCCCACACACAAGCAAGGCAGCAGGATTTAGAACACTGAATTTGTAAGAGCCTGATTTTTTTTTTTAATCAATGCTTTGTGGAAGGTTAACATACACTTATTTTATTGTTGTTATTTTTAATGTTAGAATCTTGTTTTGTGGGCTACATAAAGTCCACATGCCCAAACTGAATTAGAACATTCAAAAAATTTTGGAGACAGCTGCTCCTCTTCAGTATTTATATTTTTCAAGAGAGACAACTACGGTGTTGAGCAATAATCCTGCCCTTGTACAGACCTGATTTCCCACAGGAATGTTATGAATGCTACCATCACAAATTACATGTACGCAAACAAAGTTGCTGCTTATTTAATTCACATATGCAGTAAGCAGAAGAACCAGCATTTGAATCCAAATTCATTCCTAGCCCTTGATCTCCTAATATACCACAAAGCTAGAAATGTTTCTTCCAATGAAAACTTTCCCATCAGGTTTGTAGCCTGTTCTTTATTTCTGCTAACAGATTCAGTGACTTGGATACTAGCTGAATTACTGGTCTTCCAATTTTATGCCACACATCCTGATATTTATTCTTGCTTCATATTGCCAAAACTGAAGTGATATCTTCCAGGGGGGTCCCAAATTTCAAAACCCACATTATAACTTGAATAAAACTTCTACTTATCCCCACTTTCTGATTTCATCCACAAAGTCACCCTAAGCCTGCCTAGTCATCTCGGCCTTGGGAACCAGGTATCCCAACACTGTTTCCGCCTCTGGCATTCACATGAAGCAATATGATCATTCAGTGAATCTCATGTTATAATCCAGGGCGGAGGTTGTTCAAATGGACTGTGCTACAGTGGACAAGATAGTCTGCAAACACTTTTAATTTTTTAAAATTCAATTCTGCAACCATAGCTGAGTTTTTATCTTAAGTAAATGTGATTTATCTTAGCACTTAGTATATGATAGGAAAATTATGGGTTTATGTGTGTGTTTCCTTCCCTGAGTCATAAGGTGCTCAGAGAAGAGCTGTTCACTTCCGGGTCACAGCACAGGGCCAGCCTCAAAGGGGGCAATCAATGAACATCTACTGGATGCTGTGAATGGTACACTTAGAAAGAAAAGCCTCCTCGCTGTTCAGGCGAGATGAGAAGGCAGAGCAACCTGCCATTAGCTTCCACTAACACAGGAAAGGAGAAAAGCACTGGGACCCCAAAACTGCCATGCTAACTCAGCCAGCAGCCGCAATGTGCCCCCACCTGATGACACCTCATTTTTGCACACATTCTGCATTATCACCATGATCACTGGGGCTAACATCTATGGAGTATTTACCACATATCAGACACTATGCTCATGAGCTTTACAAACTGTATTAAATTTCATAGCAGCCCAATGAAGAAAAAAAAAATACTCTTATTTTACAACTTTTGAAACTGAGACCTAGGGCGTAGTAATTTGTACCCGATAACAAAATGAGTCTTCGCCAGAGCCAGGATTCAAATCCGAGTCACGTAGCTTTAACACTCTACATCACACCTTCCCATGTAAAGACAAATTCCAAAATCTTGCCCGTTACATGTCGGTCAGAAAGTTCCTGAGAATAAAGATGCCTAATAGAAAAGACTGACTGTGCTTGAGGATGAACGAGTCTACTAATACTATTCCAGTGGACTTTGCAAACATGCCCAGAAAAAACTGGTTATGTGACTGACGACCGGACAGCTTGAGTTTTGTTCTTCTTCTCTAAGTATCAGCACAGGTCGTTGAGTTGATCTGATTGTTCTTATGCAATGCGTCACTGAGGCTCATTCTGCAATTTTCCAACTATGCCTACAGAGAGCACTGCCGCTTTGAGAGCTGGATTAATCCACCCATCCACTTTCCTCTTCTAAGTAATGACATCATTAGGTAGATGTTGCTACCAAGATCTTGGAAGCCTCTCCTTCTCCCCATTATAGCAGTGATGGAGGAAGAAGATACGGGATGGAACTTTACACACGTGCTGATAATCCACAGGCTATCAGTCACGGTTTCTAACTCTAGACGGACTAATATTTATAGTAGAGAGTAGGAATCCCACACATTTTACTACAAGTCTTGCATCCCAGCTGGTTAAAAAAGGCTCAGAATAGAGAGGAATGCAAAGGAACAAGGGGAAAGAGATCAGGCTACTAAGGTTGGGAGGATACTGAGCAAAGACAGAGGAGAGACTTTCTGGTAGACAGGGGCATCTGTAGTCCTGGGGGGCTGGCACACAGAGCCTCTGAGGTATCTTGTGAGAGGCAAGCATAATTTGGGGCCAATTCAAGGAAGAATATACAAAAGTGTTATTCTGTATTTTTTTTTTTAAGATTTTATTTATTATTTGACAGACAGAAATCACAAGCAGGCAAAGAGGCAGGCGGAGAGAGAGGAAGGGAAGCAGGCTCCCTGCTGAGCAGAGAGCCAGATGCGGGGCTTGATCCCAAGACCCTGAAATTATGACCTGAGCCGAAGGCAGAGGCTTCAACCCACTGAGCCACCCAGGCACCCCTGTTGTTCTGTGTTTTACTGAATAGAGACTAGAGAGTGAAAAGTTTCAGAACTGAAGAGTGATACAACCACCTGGAGCAGAGTTTGGGAAAAATTTCTCTGTCAGCCTAGAAAATTAAAAATTGGTATGAGGCATAATGAACACGGGGAAATTAAATTTATAGGCAACTTCAACATTTTAAGTAAAAGATAATCAGGTCCTAGATTTGGGCAACAAATGCCCTAATGAGTGCTGTAATAATTTGACTGAAGCAGAGTACCGTGCCTTCATTACTCACTTGGGCCTTTACCAGGAAAGGAAAACATTAAAGGCTTTCAGGAGGGTGAATTTCATTTCTCTCAGCAGGGACCCTGCCTCAGGCTACAGTTCTCACATAATGCCAAGTATGATCAAGATGAAGTATATCACCTACATTTTTAAAAAATTTATAGATGCATATGGGAAAGTCCTTGAGGAACGAATATGCTATGCAAAAGACACTACCACTAGCCAAGCGGGCATGCTGAATGCACAGTTCTGCTAATGTAGGTCTCAACATCTAGGAAGACCTAACCAGATACCATGAACAGATTCCTTCCACTGTGGAGCACTATCTTAAGATTAAAAAAAAAAAAGCTCTCCAAAGTTTTCAAAGCTCCTTAGTATTTATGTCTGAAAATTCACCTCTAACCCCTCTTAGTTTTATTTAAAGGGCTTTTTGAAGATGACTATGCCAAGTGTGTAGACTTTATTTCAAGCAACTTGAATCCAATTTTTTGAAAAAGAATTTTTATAATTCTTCCTGTACTTTACTTTTTGTGGGAAGCACTTTGTGACACAAACAGCTGTACTTTGGGCATTTTTTGGCTGTATTAGCACAAGACAAAGTTAAAGGCTATCTCTTCAACTATCTAATTCCAGTATAGTATTATAGACCATATGTAAAGTTCTTTGCAGTTCACAGAATACTTTTTACAATCATTTCATTTAATCCCTAGGATAATCACTTTTAATTTTTTTTTTTAAAGATTTTATTTGAGAGAGAGAATGAGCAGTGGGGAGGGGCAAAGGGAGAGAGAGAGAGAGAGAGAGAGAAGCAGACTCCCTACTCAGCAGGAAGCCTGATATGAGGCTTGATCCCAAGACCCAGAGATCCTGACCTGGTACCAAGGCAGACACTTAACCTACTGAGCCACCCAGACACTCCAGATAACTATTTTTAAAATTGAAGGTCAAAAGGGCAGACGCAGCTTTAAACTGCTGGACACTATTTCCTTAAAAGATAAATAAAGACAGCTGCCTATATTTCTATCACATTTTACCTCTTAGTGTTTTCAGTGAGTAAAATCACACCATGAGGATGATACTAGAATGATTCAAAGGAATCAGGAACATCTGTTTTTCAGAAGGCAGCCTAGAGTCGGGAGAGGAATATGGTCCAGTTCTACCTTACTGCGACTTACCAGCTCTGTGGTCCTGGGCAAAGCCCTGAGCTCTCTGAGATTCCATTTCTTCACTAGTAAAATTCCAATAAAAGTACTTCCTTCAGAGCATTGTAGTGAAGACTGGAGATGTCATTGCAAAGTGCCTGGTCACTTCCAGGTACTTCCTATTGCGAAGGCCATTTAAAATACGAGTGAGTCATTGTCATTCCCATTAAAAATGAGCGTGAAAGTAATATCAACTATACATTACATTGATTGAGTGATTTTATATGTTATTCTCAGAGTTAAGGGATTTTTACTACAACTATACACGGTAAAGGATGAATGCTGTCCTTACTTTACAAATATCGAAAATAAGGCTCAGAAAGCTTAAGCTACCTACCCAATTCATATTTAGAAAGTGATATAGTCCAGATTTGTTAAATCCATGATAACATTCATCATTCATTTGTTCAATATTTACCGATTGCTTATTTCTGCCAGGCACCGGCCTATACATGACGGTCACCAAGAGACAACACCCTTGTTTGCATCTTACTGTCTCTTTGAGGGAAAGAGACATTAAACAGGAAAAAAAAAAAAAAAGATACATAGTATTTTAGAAAATTATAAGTTGATGAAGAAAGTTAATAGGGAATGTCAGGAGGGAGGGAAGTTTGAAGAGGCCTCACTCTAAGGGGACATTTGAACAAAGACCTGGAAGTAGGGAGGGAGGCAAGCAGATATCCAGAAAACAGTGATATAGACACAGAGAATAAAAAATTGCAAAGACCTGGGCTGAGTGCATGATTAGTGCATTTAAGGAACAGCAAAGAAACTACTGTGACTGGACAGACAGAGGCAGGGGAGAAGCAAGGGAGCTCAGGTCTACAAGGGAGCATCCCATTGTGATGTGGCCTGTCAGGATCCGGCCCTAAGGCCATCGTGTGCATGAGGGCTTTCACCGGGTGCAAACATGGGAACCAAGAGAGTGGCACATGTGACTTACAGGTCAGAGGGGCCACTCTGTGTAATGGTTGGAAATGTATGAACTTCTAGATGGATTTAAATGGAAGAGCTGAGGGCTGCCTGGGGGGCTCAGGTGGTTAAGCACCTGCCCTCAGCTCACTCATGATCCTAGGGTCCTGGGATCAAGCCCCACATTGGGCTCCCTGCTCAGTGGGGAGCCTGCTTCTGCCTGTCTCCCTGCTTGTGCAATCTGTCTCTCTCTCTCTGACAAATAAATAAATAAAAATTTTAAAATAAATAAATAAGAGGAAGAGCTGACAAGAGTTATGTGATGGATTGGACGTGGACATGGCCTCACAAAAGCCAGAATGGACCTGCCATTTCCTGAGATGAACACCACTGAAGCAGACATGGACAACACAATAAAAATTAACATTTTTTCGTGCTTCGTATGGATTGGGCAAGCACTTTTCATTCAGTACCTCAATTAGTCCTTACACCAACCCTTTGGATTTACCAATGAAGAAACAGAGACTCAGAAAGGTTATAATCTGCCCAAGGTCATATAGCTGCCAACTGGCAGAAACAGTGTAAGTATCTCTGTATGACCCCAAAGTCAATACTCTTAATAACTACTACGTTCCCTACACTGAGAAGTATAAAATGCAGAATGCAGTTCCAGCGGGAAGGAAGTAGGAGCATGAGGAAGCAGTTCCATACTAAGTGATGACTTGCACCTAGTAGGCACGCAACAAATACTTGCTGATAAATGAATAAATGTAAAAAAAAAAAAAAAAGTATGGATCATGGTTCGATAACAGACCAGCTCTGGGTAAGGAAAAACAACAACAACAAATACCAATGATTCCATTCCAGTAAGAACGGCATCTGGTAATGGGATACTGAAGTCTGCAAAAGGAGAAAAGGCAGAAAGATGGAGAAACAAAATATATATTTGACTGGACCAGCCCTGAGATAAGGATAAATAAAGTCTTGCTATATTATCTTGAAATGTTAGGTGAAAAGGCAGGTATAAGGAGGTAACATATAACATTTTACATAATGTGAACGCTTAATACAGTTTTTAAAAATACAAATAACAATAATAACAGAATTAAAGTTGGAACGTCTTGCTTTTAGTCCAATACAAGAGACACACAGCCTTTTAAATAAAAAGGAACCTTTTAAGTCAATCAATGAAACCACCATAAGTGGTTTTGCATAGATACCAGGATGGTATTTGTGGTACCCTTGCTAAATTAGAAGATCGCATCCATAAATCACTTCCCAGACTTTCTCTTCACATTGTTTCAACCTTTAAGTGATTTTCTTCCTTCGTTCTTAACCTGCAGTCTTTGGGATAACAAAATACTAAACCATGCAGTTTTTTAAAATAGAGAAGCTGAAGCAAAGTTGGGTTCTCTCCCAACAAAGACATTAGTTAACTTTTCATTAAAATGGCAAAGTATTTATGAGCCCTTTCATGTTATAAAGTTGAAAAATATTCACCAATGAATTCTTTACAAATGTTCAGACCTCCTTTTCAGTGATGCCTGTTTATGATAAAGAATCTAAACACACACCAAAGAAAGTAACAATGAATGAATAAAATAAGATTCATTCGTATTTGAAATGATTTCTTAAATGGTTGGCAGTTTAAAGGAAAAAATTAATAAAACAGGTAAGTATTGCTTTCTGATCACAAGGATCATCAGATGGAGGTGGAATGGGGGTGGGGATAAATACCTGAGCCAAAATTTCAAAATCCATAATCACTTCAAAACTACTCAGATTGAGGGGGCAAAGGGTGTTAGAAAGTATGTCATGGCAAAAAAAAATCGCTACAACAAAAATGGTTTTTTACAGAGATTCTACTACTCTTTATATTCCATAAATTGGAAGAACATTTTTCTTCCTATTAGTCCTTCAATGGATTTCAAACAATATATCATTTATAACTAGGGGTAAATACATGTATTCAACACACTCTTTTTTTTGGTTCATTAGACACATAAATACTAAATAAGCATGTGATGTTTACTCTCTCTCTCTCTCTCTCTCTCACACACACACAGAGTTCCACAGAGGGTAGAATTGAATAATGGCAGCCCGAGTGTTACCACATGGGTCTAACACACTTGTGGGCCTATGGCATTTTCAAAAATAGGAATCGACAAATAGCTTCATTTAGTCACGATAAAGTCAGTAAACACTCAAGTTTTCTCTTTGGGTTTTTTGTTTTTAAGGAGAACACCCCTGAACGGCAACCTGTTAATTTAGTTAACCAACCATACGTGGGGCTTCTTACGGTGTCCCCATCCCGGGAATCAGTGAAGCGAGGAAAGTTCAAGGTCTGTCCTGGCGACGTCCCTTACCCCCTCGGAGCCCCGGAGTTTGAGGGTTCCTCACCGCGAGCCTTCCCCTTCCACCCAGCAGTCTCGACTGCCTTCGCGCAGAAGGGCGGGTGCGTCCGTCCCCCTCCGTGACACTTTACCCTGCCTCGCCGCACGCCACCCGCGGGAACCGAGGAGAGGCGCGGGGAGAATCGGGGGCCGGGGGGCCGCGGCCGCTTCCGCACCCGCGCGCGGGGACGAGGAGGCAGCGGGGAGAGCAGGGCTCCGCTGCGGCTGGACCGAGCGGCGGGGGAGGCGCGCCTAGCGCCCGGGCCCGCGTACTCACCAGATGGGGCCGCGCGGGCACGGGGTGTCTGCAACACCGGAGACCCGGGCGAGCACAGCCCTCTGCCGCGCCGGCGGCCTCGCTGGGAAGCGCGGCGAGACGGGCCGGCGGCGTCGCTGCCGCCGCTGCTGTCACCGAGCTATAAATACCGGCTCGGCCCACACTCGCCGCCGCCTACGCCGGGCGCCCTCCGCAAAGTGCGCCGGCCGCGGACCCGGCAGCCGGAGCGCAAGGGCGACGGCGCCGCGCAGGTGACCGCGATGGCTCCAGCTGTTCGGCAGCCTCCGCAGCTGGAGGCATGGCCTCCCGCCGCCCCCGCCCTCCCCGCTCCCTCCCCTCCCGCCTGCGCCGCGGGCCGACTCCAGCCCGCGGGCCGCGCGCGCCAAGCCGAGCCCGCCCCGGCCGGGCCCGCCTCTGCAGAGCCGGCGGCGGCAGGCGGGGGACCACTTGGGGAGCGGCGGAGGTGGGGGCGGGGGAGGTGGGGTGGGGGGCGATCCGGCTACCGCCTAGCGTGTCAGCAGCAGTCCCTTCGTCCTGGGGGAATCCGCAGACTTCTTATAAAATCCACCATCCTGCAGGGAACCAATGAGGTTCCCAAGTGGAATAGCCTCAAAAGAACTGCAAACTTTCTAATGCGGTCTCAGGTCATAGAGCATCCTTCCTGCTTTTATCAGTTGGTGGTGTGGAGGTGGGGTGGGAAGAGACCGCCCGCGAGGACAAGAGAAGCCTTACACTGACTTTCCAGCCTGCCCGGCCTGACACACACACACACACACACACACACACACACACACACTCTCACATTTGCACACACATCTAGAAGCACGCACACATTCATACACACTTAGAAATAGACAAATATATGTACACACATGTATAGATATCTACAGACACATATATAAGCACACGCAAACACTCATACATACACACCTTTATGCGCACTTATACTGGAAGCACACATATGTGCAATCTTTAGCATTTTCCAAGCTTGAAGCTCTCAGGAGCCTAGCATTCTGTAGTGCTGAAATGATTTATCTGCAGCATGGCAGAGGAAGACCTTTGACCATATTTGACCAATTCCTGTCCTGATGTAACCTTTTTTCTGTCGTGTGTGTGTGTGTGTGTGTGTGTGTGTGTGTGTCTCCTTTGTTTCCTTCCACCTCTAATAAAAACTGCTGCCTCAGTTTACCAGCTGCTTATAATATGTTAAAAGCTGCTGTCCTGTATACTGATCTCTGTGCTACTGGAAGTGAGCCTTAGTTGGTAGTGTCAGATGGAAAATGGAATCATCCCTATATGCCTACCGTAGCAAACTTATGAGGAGAAAAACAGCCTCTCTCCTGGATGGCAGCATGATTCAGGAATGTCCTGAGTAGCCAGAGGAAGAGCTAAGATGTCAGCAGATTTTGAGATGGGGCAGAGAGGGCCACTCCCAAGTCCTGCAGTGTAGCTA